TTAAAAAACTGGCAACAACAAATGTTGGCAAGGATGTGGAGAAAACGGAACTCTCCTACACTGCTAGTGGGAGTGCAAACTGGTCCAAACACTATGGAAAGCTGTGTAGAGGTTCCTCAAAATACTAAAAGTGGAGCTTCCATATGAACTGTTGAATTCCAATTGTTGAATTCCATATGATCCAACTCCTAGGAATCTACCCAAAGGACACAAAGACATTAATTCAAAAGGACACCTGCACCCCTATGTTCACTGCAGTAATTTTTACAATAGGTAAGCTATGGAAACAACCCAAATGCCCAAAATAGATGACTGGATCAAGAAGATGTGATGTATATACACAATGGAATATTACTCAGCAATCAAAAAAGATAAACTCCTGTCATCACAGCAACATGGATCATGCTCAGTGAAATAAGCAAGAAAGAAAAAGAAAAATATGGGATGGTTTCACTTGTAGGAGGAATGTAAAGGAGCCAAATAAGGGATCAGGGAAAAAAGTAATTATAATAAATTATAAATCAAAATCAACAGGCAACTATAAATCAGACATTCTGCAGGGGAGGAGGGGGTAGAAGAATCAAAGCAGGGTTGGGAAGAGCACAAGGGACTATGATGATGGTGCACAGGTGAATTGGTGGTGGGAATTTCCCAGGGACTACACCTGAGAGAAGAAAGCAAACATGTACAAAAGTGAAGAATGATGTAAAATATATATAAAATAAAAAAAGAATAGGATACATGTTCAAGTGTGGGGATTTATTAAATAAATCATGATTTATTCCTAAAAAGAAAAATGTGCCAAATCCTCTGGGTATCTCAACACATCCTGGTCATGAAGGTCCTTCATGAGCCATAGGAGAAAACAGTGTCTTTATTAGCAGGAATCAGATGGTAACCCCAAGTCTTAGAGACTCCCACCTAGTATCTTGATGTATTGGGGCTGCCCAGACCACCTGTGGACCCGGCAACCTCAAGACTTCAATACCAGGGTGTAAGTCATCTTGTGGCATCCCCTGAGTGGATACAGTGTACACAGTTGCAAGGTAAACCCGAGCTAGGGGATGGAAGCTGTTCAGCATTACGTCAGTCCGGCCTTTGGGCAACACTGGCCATGAAAATCACCCAGGTAGCTGAGAACAACCAAATTCATCTCACGTATTCTTACCTCCCTGTCCTCCCCCCTCCTCCCACTCCTTTATTATGCTGGTGATAAAAACTAAAAATGGATTCAGTTAAGGTTTCCTGCTTTCTCCTTTGCCTAGAGATAAGGAGCACACTAATTCTGAGACTTCAGAGCGGGCTGATACTTGGACAATAACTTTGGATTAGATTTCCTTTTCTAACTCCCTTAACATGTTCAAAACTCCTCACTCTGCCTAAACATAGTCTGCCAGAGTCCTTTATAAGACCTCGCCCTCTTTCTTTCTCTCTCATACATAGATGGTATCTGACCTTTGCCCTCCTATGACCTACTATTCCAGGCACCCTTTCCTGTTTTTCCTCTGTCCTCTGTCCCTCTGCTGCTACTGCGGTTTGTCTGCAGGAGTTGTCACCTCCTCCCTGAGGATGTCCTGTGCTATTTACTCCTTAAGCTCTTGGGTAGTTGCTGACCTACACAGCAAGTTCAGCTGGCCTGAATCATTTAGGGGAGACTCTGGTGTTTGTGGCCCCACAATCACTTCCACAGAAGGAGGGGGAGGCTGATTACAGTGAAAAAGGGTGCTCTTTAAACATACGCTCTCTAATAAGTATGTAGAGGAAAGGAAAGGGAAATCTACGACTGGTCTATGAGTAGCAGTGCTCTTGCTTGCACAGTGAGGGGAGACTATGCTGGCATGTTACAGAAGGGCTACAGTCCTTGAGTTCACAACCAGCTGGAGCAACTATGCACAAAGGCAGCCCCGGCATATTCCCAGGGAGAAGGCCACACATGCCATTACACTCTATGTGCACGCAGACACAGAAACAGGACCTTCTGTGGCCAAGTGAGACAGTGACAGAATGTGTAGGTGAAGGGACTTGTGCAATTCCAGCAGCTTCCAGGGGCAACAGCTGGCATTTTACTCAGCTTAGAGAGCAATGAGCTCCATAGAGTTAGAATACAAAACATCACACCAGCCTTCAGGAAAAATGACTTCTTTGTTCTGAATCACATTCTGTAGTTTTTTCCCCCTCAATTCTCTTATACCACAGACTGAGAAGCAAATTCATAGCTCCCAATTTTACCTGTGAAATCATTCACACACACAAACACACACATATGCACAAGCAAAGGAACTGATACAGAAATTATTAAATAAAGATAGAAGGGAAAGGTATATCCATGGAGAGAGTGCTTTAAACAATAGCTAGGTTTGTCAATATCAAATACTTTGTTAAGCAAGCAGATAAATTCTTTCATTTAGTCCTCACAAAATCCAATTCAATGAGTATTATCCTATCAAAAACGTAGAAACTGAGACCATGTAGCAGAGAAGTAAACATATAAACCTTGGAGCCAGCTCAGTTTGCTTTCAAATTCAGGCCTGCTACTTGCTGACTATGTAACCCGACAAGTTACTAATTCTCTAGGTTTCGATTGTTTTCATGTGAAAGGGGGGTGGTGTCGCTCTCATCAGATTGTGAAGATCCCAAATGAGATATGTAAGATGCTGAAGCTAGACTGTTAACATTTTAGAATATTAGGTTTCCTCCTAGATCTATAAATAAATGTTCAAAAATCCATTCAGTTCAGTTTACAAAAAAATTAGTGGAGATGTTTAAAAAAAAAAAAAAACACCTGATTATCTGTCTGACTTAAATCAATTGGAAGATTTACAAAACTATAGATATGGACTGGCTCTTGAAAATGTTGTGGGAGAATTAATGATTTCCAAGCACTAGAATGTACTTTGATTTGGGTACTCTTTAGTTTACAAGATGACAAATTATCTTTTGATTAAAAAGATTTTCCAGACCTTCAGGGGACAAACTCATTGGCTTGATTCTGCTGCTACTTCCTTCCACCCCAACTTTGTGTGTAGGCAGTGAGTAGAGGAGAGGAAACAGTTGAGCCTGGCCTTACCAGCTTGGACAGCCACGGTGAACTTGAAGTGCGTGTCCCAGCAGGAAACAAGGTGGCAAGTCCATTCTCTAGTCCTCCTCCAGGGCTCTGGAGAACAGGATAAACACGTGGAGAACTCCTGATTACATCCATCCTATAGTCATGCCAGGCTAGTCTAGGCAGGAGACAGAGGAACCAACAGAGTCGTCTGAAGGAGGTAGACACAGATACTGAAGGGGTCAAGGGGCCACTTATTAAAGACAGTGTGTGTGTCCCCTGGACATGCATGGGAGTGGACATGGGAAAAACATACCCAGGACTCACCATGAAACCCCCTGGTCATTAAGGATCAACAACATATCTTCTGACAAATGTATTAGAAGGAATGGTTTCTCAATGGAAATTTACACTACTTTCAAAATCCCTTTCTATGCTGGTGCTTCCTGCGCAAATGTTTAGGCTAATGGCCTGGTGCTACCTCTTTAAAACTAGGACCATCAGCTCATGTGAAACAAACCTAGATGCCAGAGGAGGCAGTGGACTGTGGTGGAAGACGATCCACGCTTTGGTGGTAGTGGCATGATAAGGTACATTTGTAGAGGTGTGAACCTAAATCCCTAAAACATATACAGTATTGTAACTCAATGTTACCACAATTAACATAAGTAAGAAACAAACAGAAAAAGTCAACCTTGAGAGTCTTAGCCTTGGACTGAGAAAACGTCAGAATATTCTACCCCCACACAACCACCCAGCAGAGCAGGGGTCTTCTCCTGAGAAGTTAGGCTGGAGGGGTCAGGAGAAATGAGTCAGTTCCTGAGCTTGGGCTACTTGGAGAGTTAAGACTGGTCACTGCCAGTCTTAACTAGCGGGACAAGATACCCACTATAGACCATCCCCGGAGAACCTTCTGTGCATCACCAAAGAACTGACGGTCCTTCCATTGCCTGTTCCCATCACATCCCCAGATCCCAGCACCACGGGTTAGCTCAAGGTCACACATCCTGAATGGGCCACCCAGGTGGCTCCAGAGCACACACCCCTCTCCGGTCTGGGGTGGGCTTCCTGCTCTTGGCCTCAGCTGTTTGTGGCGGGCCGGGGCGGCCTAGGGTTCTGGTGAAGGTGGACAAGCAGGTGCCGGGTAGAAAGAGACCCCTCTTCATGATCAGCCCCAGGCCGGACTTAGGAAGACACAGATCTTAACAAAGCCTCTGGCAGGGCACGCGGGCGGCTGTGCTCGGGCGGCAGTCCTGCCTGGAATCCAGTGTTCACTGGGACGGGACAGGTGGGAAACCTGGCTTAACAAATTCTTCCCTTGATTCTGGGGCGCACTTTCCTTAGGTGAAGTCCTGGCAGGCGGCCCGAGAAGCGCGCAGGTCTCATTCCGGGCCGCGTCCCGGCTCCCTAGCCCGGGATAAACCCGATAAACCCCCGCAGCGAGGTGGGTGCAGGTGACCCGCGCGCCGGCGGCTCCGCTCCGCCGCCTAGAGCCTGGCAGCCGCCACTGCCGGGGCCGCTCGGGTTCCGCGGGCGGCCGGGCCCGACCCTGCGCCGGCACTGCCCTGCCAGTCTCGGGTGGTGTCTGAAGCCGGGCGCTTCCTGCCGTTCCTCCGCCTGGGTGCCGGCTGGGGCGGCGGGCTCCAGAACCCCCGATCGCCCCGCCCCGCCGCCCGCGCCCTCCTGGTGCGCGCGGCGTCCCCGCCCCTCGTCCCAAGCCCCCACCCCGTGCCCTTAGGGGGTACCCCACGGGGGCGGGAGGGTGGTCCTCCATGCCCCGGCCGCCGAGTGGCGGGGAGGTGACAGTAACCGCCTTCCCATTTCCGCCCGGCCGGCCGCGCGGCGGGGTGAGCACCGGCTCCGAGCGCTCGGTCCTCCCCCCGCCCTCCGGCTCCGGGGCTGGCCCTGCTCGCCGCCGCCTTTTTCCCCCGCACCGCGGCGCCGCTTCGCCACTCGGGCACCGCAGGTAGGCAGGAGGCTGGAGCGCCTGCTGCCCGCCGCCCGTAAAATGGTCACCTCGGCTGGACAGCTCGCCCTGTTCGCGCTGGGTAAGTACGCTGCCTGCAGCACGCCGTGCACCCCCTGCCCCCCACGACACCCCTCGCCCCCCTGTCCTTTCCAGCTCCCTTTCCCGGGGGTTTCCTGCGCTCGCCTGAGAAAGTGGAGGGAGGCTGCTGCTTTCCAGGGGCTGCAGGCTGGGACACAAGGGGGAGTCACTAGGGCTTGCTAGAGATTTGGGGAGCCCTTTCCAAAGAAGAGGACCGTCGAGCACCCAGGCTTTCCCCGAAAAGTGGCCGCCTCGGCTGTGCGTGAGAACGTTTTCCTGGGAAGGGCAAACGGTGTGTGAACGCGCTTGAACTTTCATCTGCCGCGGCTGGGTGTCCGCGCCCCAGCCCGCACCTACCTGCTCGCCGCGCGGGGGCCCCGCCTGCCCTCGCCGGCGCGGGCGGGTGCGGGCTCCGCAGGGGGGCCGCGGCCGCCCCTCCAACAGACCCGCCTGCCTTTTCGTGCCCTGCCCACCTCTGAGCCCCGGCGATGGGCAGTTGTTCACGTTTAGCCGGGTCGCCCTCGATCTTGAACTTTCAGAGCTCTTGCGCGTTGGGGTAGGTTTTGGATTTTTGTGCGGATTAATTGCTCCTTTAATTAACTTCCCTGAGAGAAGTGGTGTAAGTGTCAGCGGAGGGCAGGAGCGAAACCCTAGACCGGGCCAGTTTCCTTAAGAGTTTGCTTTTGGAAGGGAACCCGCATGGGGGAAGGGTGGGCAAGACACACCCGCGAACTCGCGTGCGCGCCGGGGAAGGTGAGTTTTTCAGCCGCGAAGTTCGCTGGACGGTCAGTAAGTGATGTGAGGCCCCGCGCCGCGCGCAGCCAGGCCGCCCTGCCCCTCGCCGGGCGAGGCAGCTCGGGTGTTGAGATGGCAAATGAACAGCCCAGGTGTTGTGGTTATCCCTGCAGCTTCTCGAAATGAATTGTACTATATGTCCTCTGAATTTAACCTCGTAAAGCTAGTTGCTCGCTACAGCTACAAGGACATCTATTAGAGTTTGAGTAACGTTGTGGAATCCTTTCTCCCCCCAAAATGCCCTAAGCCACAACTGCACCCACTTCCATGTACAGTTTCAGGGGGTTCATGGACCTGCCTGTAATCCAGCCCATGAAATGATGATTAATAACCTAGCAAAAGGGGAGGTATCATCTAAGGAAAATGCAGAGTAGTGGTTGAACCCGTTGCTGCCAGTCGTACCCTCACCTGAAACTCACCAACAGGTGGCATGATTGTGAGCGAGCTTCTTATATTGATAATTGTTCTGATATTAGATTTTTTTAAAGCAATAAACCATCACTGCTGGGGCAGAAGCTTCCTGGATGCTGTGCCCTGTTGTAATGATTTTTTGCAAATACTAATAGTAATCATAATAGCCAATGCTATTTGAGCACTTACCCTGTGCCAGACACTGTTTTTGGTGCTCCATATGTAGTAACTCATTTAATTTTCGCACTAACCTGGTGAAAGAAGGCATTATCCCCATTTTATAGAGAACAAAATCAAGGTACACAGGGATCACAGGAAGTAGTTGGACCGGGAATACTAAAGAATATGGAAGGAGTTTGGATATTGAAAGTCACCTAAGTGTGGTCACCATAATTCCATCTCTCAGTTTGGAGACTTTTCCTTGAAGTGAGATTGTGTGGAATACCCTGGAATTTGCTGTTAAGTTGGGTTTTCTGTTGGACTTCTAGGATCTCACTGTGGCCTTAGGTTATTTAGTGAAAATTAGAGGTAGGAAATAATGATTGGCACATTTGAGGAAGCCTTGGAAAGTTGCCCCCCCCTTCCCCCATCATTCTATATGTGCCCATGAAGGCCGCATTCACTCATCAGTAATTTTTCTCTTTTGCCTAAGAGAAGACTACCATTGAAACCTAAAACTTCAACTTGATCCTTGTTTCCTTCCTTCAGGAAAAAAAATGTATAACCTTAACAAGATTGATCAGTATGTAAAAGCTGCCTCATACTATTTCAAAATAAGAGCAGTTGGGAAAAGTAGAGAAAAAAGAAGGTAGGAGTCATTTCTACCAGTGAGGACTCCTTTTTATTTATATTTCCTTTTTTTAAGCCATTAGTTCTGTGCATTTATTAGAATTTCTGTTTCTTGCCTCACTTTCTGCTAAATGACTAAAGACTCATCAGTGCCATATGCATCTGTAATTTGCACATATCCTCCAAAATTGCTTTCCTCTCTAAGTTTTTTTAAATGAGTTGAAGGCAGTTCCAGGCGAATCAGCCAGTGTTCCATCGCTAACCAAGATCTAGAAAACCTGGATCTCTTCCCCACATTCCTGGGGACAGTCAGAGAAGGAACCCGTTGTTAGGCGTCTCAGTCGGTGCTCCTGATTACTTGGAACCTGCGTGCTGATTGATGTTTTGGCAGAGAGCGTGTGGAGGCTATTGCTTAATTGGCAACATTGGGAAAGAAACCCAGGTCCCTGTGGCAGCTGCCCTCCCCCCATGTCAGATTTCCAAGGCTGGCAGGTCAAACCTCACAGGGGCTTGGCACCTTCCATCCCACATCCTCCTTTGTGTCCAGAGAGCAAGATGTGTAATCTTGGGCAAGTTACTTATCTTCTCTGTGCCTTGTTTTTCTCGTCGGTAAAATGGTGGTATTTAAAGGGTTGTTGAATCTATTTAATGAACATAGAATGGTGCCTGGTATGTGGTTAAGAGTTTAGTTAGTTTTAGGCCCATCATCATCATCCTCATTGTTACTTTTGAACTCCATAGAATTCCAGTTACCATTGCAAATTGTGTTGATTCCGTAATTGGGAGTTTTAGTCTTCTTTGTCTCATGTCCTAGCTCCCCACCCTTCCTAAACCAGAAAAATACTACCCAACCTAAAAACCTATCTAATGATTTAGTGACAAAAGGGGGGTGTTTGTGGACACCACAGATTCTTTAATTTTGTTGCAAAACATTTGTATGTTAACATTTAGTCATCGGTTGTTTATTGAAATCAACACTAAGTTCCAGTTTCCTCATCTGTAAAACGGGATTAATCAAGCTGTATCCATCTCGCAGGTTGTTGTCAGAATCAAATGTGATGGAGAATATGGTTGATATAAACTATAAAAATAAATGATTTCTTTATAAACTATAAAAATAAGTGATTACACACAAAATAAAATTGATTTTATGATACGGAAATAATATACCACCTAATCCAGAAGTAAACATTATCCTTTCTATGCATGGCTCCCAGAAGTAAGGCTGGATGTAGACGTAGGGCACATAGTGTCTTTAAGGATGGATAGAAATGAAATAGATCAGCTTCTCAGTGGATCAGGGACTGAGGCACCAGTGGGAGGCATGCAGTGCGTCATCCATCAGAGTAGGCATTGGAGCTTTGCCAGGGACACGTTTCCCTTATTGGGTACCATAATCAGGGGCTGTTCACTTGGACCACAGACTCTAAAGGTTTGTATATGGAAGGCTTAGAGGTTAAATTTCCCTTCTTTGCTTTCCCAAAATTTGATTTCCTCATTTACTTTTCTGTAAATACCCATTGTCCCCTGCAAAGGGGACTTTTCTTATAGGAGTAAATGATGTTTCATGTTACTATGGTAAAATATGAAAAACAACTGACTTTTCCATTGGATCTATCTCCAGGGCCTTTTAAAAGTGTTTTAAACAAGGTCCTGCTCTTTAGGCTGCCCACTAAAAGGAACGGACAAAGGGAAGTGGAGGTTGGATCAACCAAAGTAAGAAAAATTTGACGTACCGAATTGGGCATTTAGGGCTTGGTTTCACACTCATGCCCTCTGTAATATCTGCCACAGCAGTGCCCTCAAAGCAGAACCGCCTGGAGGGCCTGGTAAACCAGAATGCCCAGCAGGAGTGGGAGAGTTTGCATGTCTGACAAGGTTCCCAGGTGTGGCTTCTGCCACTGGTGGAGAGGCAAGGGGAGAGACACTTTGAGAACCACTGCTCTGTAATCATTGCTGTTAGGGAAACATCTGGCTCAACCATTGGCATTTTATCTAAAGCATAGCCTGATGTTTATAAATGCTGCTGTGGATGTATGAGCCATTATTAAAGGCCTTTCTATGGCCAGTCTTGCTGACCAGGGCAGGGGTAGAATGCTTGCTGAGATTTCCTAATTGTCACAAGTGTTCTTGGACATTATCCATGGAGGATGCAAGGAACCCATGTTATTAAACTTATGCTGAATGATGCTAAGTCATGTGATGCTTTCTTTTTTGGATCGTCAGATATGGACTATTGTTTTGCTACCATTTCAAACATTTTTAATCACATTTTAAGGTGTGAACTTAACTACATGAGCCTTTAGCACAGAATGAACATTCCATCTAGAAAGAGGATTGGGGTGCTTTCATGGTGACTTGGTTTTGCTTGCTACCCCCCACCCCCTGTGAAATATCAAGTATAAAAACCTTTCATAGATAAGGAAAGACAGAAATCTAGATTAGGAGAACTGTCTAGGCTCCCAGAACCATCTCTTAAGAGCTCTTCCTTTCAAGGGTAAGGACACTGCCTTTCAACCCACTCTAAAAATCTGGGTAAATTCTTTTGAAACATTTGAATTGGCTGCATTGAGTATGTCCTAAATCATTGTCATATGTAGACATGTTTAGATTGGGTTTAAAAAGAGTTGGAAGTTTATCAAAATGAAACTTTAGGTCATTGCTAGTACTTTTTTCCTTTAGTCAGAGGAAACACAGTTTCTTCTATTTATTGTCTCTTACTGTTTTGTTTATGCTATTTTCAACATACCCAAGGTTTTCATTTTTATGTAGTAGAAACCATCTTTTCCCAGAAGTTTTCCATCTTTACTTGTATAGTTAGAAAAACCATCCCTATCCTAAGATAGGCAAACATTTACTTATTTCTTTCATCTAATTCTTTAGTGCTCTTATATAGTATGTATTATTATATATGTTATATAGTTATATTGTACTATATTGTACATAGATAATATTGGACTATCTTATCTATAATTTATTTTGGTTTATGGTGTGAGGTACATTTCA